CAAAAGGCAGGGGGAGAATGGGAAAGACCCAGCATGCCCGGAGCCTTGCCCTTGTAGGGCATCGTGTCCACCTCCCTTTAACCTGTCCACACATCCAACAGCGTGTGCAAGGGCACTCACCCCCACACACGGCTCTCCCATCCTTCCCGGGCCAGACAGAGGGCCTTTCCATAGGCTTCCGGGAGGCTGAGGGAAGTATACTCACCCTCTCCTCGGCTGGTTCCCCAACCAGCCACAAAAAAGAGAACTCCTCCTGCCTGGCCTTCAAGGCCTGGGTTTATGGAGACTCTCTCTTTACACTTGCTCGACTGTCTGGGATTAAAAGCCGCCCCCTTGACAGAGGAAAGTGCAGAGCCAGCCAGGTGAGAGCCCTGCCGGACCTCACTCTCTGACCAGCTCAGGGAAGGAGGAACTGAGTGCCTCTGCCTGGCACAGAGCTCCCGCAGAAAAGCCACCTGGCCCATCCTGGGAGCCCGAGTCCAGCAGGGGCACTTGTTCCCCAGTCCTGTGACCACAGTTCCCTGACCCGCTTCCACCTCAGAGGAGATCGGAAATGCTTCCTCCCCACCTGCTCCACACCCAGTTCTGCTCCTACTCCCCGAACACCCAGCCAGCAGTCCTTGCTCCAAGTGGACAATCCTACAAGGAGCCTTGGGAAGAGGGTACCAAGTATCTGAGGCTACTATTACTCATCTCTCTGGAGGACCTAGGGTTACCAATCTTCCCTGCACCCCAGGCCACACTGTACACAAACCATGCTGTGGCCACACCTGTGGGCACTGAACAGGTCTAGTTTGGCCACAGGGTTTGGGACACACAAGATATGCTTGTGATAGAAAAGCTGAGGCTTTCTCAATCTTCTTAGGAGCGGGTCTCAGAGATCAAATGTCCACTTGGTTAGATGTCATGCACTCACAGCAGGACGACTGCTGGGCCCGAGGCATGAGGAACCGTAAGCTGTCCTCCCAAGCTCACGGCCATGTGGTTCAGCAGAGGGGTCTGAGGCCTGAGGCCCAGCCACCAGCCACCAGCAAGCCACAGCCATGGCCAACTCCCAGCAGCAAGGCTACATTCCTCAGCCAGGCCACCTGCATTTGTCCTCCTAGGTGGGAATAGAGGCGGTACCCCGGCACCTGCGCCAGGGCAGGAAGGACAGCCAGGGCCCTGTGGCCCTGCCTGAAATGCAGCCACCAGAGGCCTAAGAGTGCAACTCCAGCCCAGGGCTTCCCTTTTCTATTACATAAGTAAATGCAATCTTTTTATGTTTTATTTCTAAAAATATAGACAGGCCAAAATATTGATAGAACAAATTGTGTACGATTCCACTTGTACACCTAAAATAGGCAAATTCATGAAGACAGCAAGTAGAATCAAAGTTACCCACATGTGGGGGAGGAGAGAGAGGGGAATACTGTCCAATGTGTACAGATTTCTGTCTGGGATGACAAGGAGGTTTTGGAAATGGTATTGATTGCACAAGATTGGGAATGTACTTATGCCATGGAATTGTACAATGAAGAATAGTCTAAAAGGTAAATTTCATGATATATATATTTTACCACAATAAAAATTTTAAAAGATTACATATGAAAGCAAACTAATGGAAATCAAAACGCCCTAAAATTCTACCAGCTAGACAGGCACCATTAACATTATGCCAAACATCCTGCCAGATGCAAATATAAATGCATGGTATATTTTACAAATATAACGCACTCTTTGGTAACCTGCTTCTTAGAAATATTTGTTTCCACAGTTGTGAACACATATCTGTTTCTTTATTTTTGAAGCCACATGAAGGCATTTCAATATATAGAGATACCAAAATTAACTAATTTATGATGGGAGGGCATTTAGTCTCCACTTTTGTTGTTGAGGTTGTTATTATTGAGAATTGCAAGGAACCTCCCTGTGCGGCATTCAATTATAGGATAAGAATTCCTATGGGTGGAATTTCTGAGTCAGGGACACCCTTAGGAGGGTTTATCAGCAGAGCATGAAGAGGAAAACTACACCAAAGATGTCCAATTCTGGGTTTTGTTTTTAAATTTCTCGCTCTACCTGGGCTTTGCTTGGATTCCACTTGGGTTTCTATGAAATTGCACAGTTGTTCAAAAGGTCTTTTCCATAAGAAACCAACCTCTTCCCAATCCCCTTCCCAGGCCTTCTCTGGGGACACACCTTGCCGGTGTCAGGAAGTAAAACCGGCACATGAGGAGGGCAGAAATATGCTGGGTTAACATTTTCTGCTTTCTCTGGTCCAGCAGGAAAGGATCTAGGATGGCCCAGTGGAGGGAGCCCAATGATAGATACCATAAGTGTGGGCATAGGAAAGGTTTTTTGTTAAAGATTTTGTTCTAAAGTGGATAGGAGGAGGATGCAAAGGACTCTTGGGGAAACTGAGGCTTGAAGGGAGTTTATAGCTCCAGAATAAAGCTTGGCTTTGGTTGGCTTCACCCTGAAGTAGACCCCAAGGCAGCTATTCAACAAGAGGAATGGGTGAGAAAGACAGTTAGGGACAAGAGCCAGTGAAGGGAGTGAGTCACCACTATGCATACCCGGACTCCGTCCTGCTAAGAACTTTAAAGACAGTACAGAGCATGTGGCAAAGTGATCCCTGCAGAGAGGCAAGGGAGCTGGGGTATCTGTCACCAGCAGTGGAGGCCAAGAGAATGCAAGCAGGACACTGATAGTGTTTATTACATTAGCCCATATCCTGCCACTAGAAAAGGCTACAGTGCAGGTGAAACTCCAAACCCAACACTCTTCCATCACACTTACAGCAATAAGAGTTAATCACGAAGACACAGCTGAGGGAGTCAAGGGTAAAACACAAAGCCGATGAGACGAGCCTACTTTGCTACATCATGTAGGGTTGGCATGTACAAAGAAAGCACAGGAAGGGGCTGGGGATTTAGCTCAGCGGCAAAAGTGCCTGCCTGGCAAGCGCAAGGTCGTGAGTTTGGTTCCCGGTACCGGAGAAAAA